TAGCAACAATGTGAAATTCATTTAGAATATCAAAAGTGACCTCTGTTATGCTGATAAATAAATACAAAATAAAGAGATTTTTTTTTTTTAAATCCTTACCTGAGGATACTTTTTTTTTTTTTTTTCATCGAATAGAGCTGGAGGGAGCGAGGGAGGAAGAGAGCAACATCGATGTGACAGAGACACATGCACTGGTTGCCACCTGCACAACCCCAACTGGGGCCCGGGACAAACCACAACTGAAGTACGTGCCCTTGACCAGAATCAAACTCAGGACTCTTGGTCCATGGGCAACGCTCTTACCACTGAGCCATACCCACCAGGGTAATAAAGAAATTTAAAAAACAAAAGCAAAAAAACAGCAAATTAAAGTAGTGCTAGAGTCGGGTGTGGGGAGAAGAGGAGATTAAGGAAGGATTTCATTTCTTTCAAATTAACTGTTTTCATAGCCTTCCCAGCTTTAGATCAGTAAAATCATTAAATCTTCTCTCATGAATTTTAATAAATAGTAATGATGGTATATAGAGGATAGACATCCTGGTGTTCAAAACTATGAGTCCCCTCTAGAGGTGCTTATTGCACTGTTTAGAAATCAGTTACTAATTACTAGCTGTATTATAGAGACACCAAGAATTTAATCACTTTTCCCTGAATATTGCTAGTTTAAACAGCCTATCCACTTATTATTGTAGGAGTTAGTTTTCGAATAGGTACCATGTAAACACAGAAGGAAATAATTTAATTAAAAGCAAATGTTAAGTGACAGCAAGTTGATAGTTCTTAGAACCAGACAATAAACCCATGTGAACCTTAGAAACTCAAAATTTGCAGTAGTTCAACATAGTATATGCATTTTATTGAGTTAGAAGTTATCCAAATTACAGTTCTCTGATATGATTTAAAATGAATACAGAGCCTGGCTGGTGTAGTTCAGTGGATTGAGCTTCATCCCATGGACTGAGAGGTCCTGGTTCAATTCCCGGTGAGGGCACATGGCTGGGTCAGTAGTAGTGTGTGTGGGGGGGGGGGGGTTGCAGTGCTGGAGGCAGCCATTCGATGTTTCTCTCTCACATCAATGTTTCTATCATTCCCTCTCTAAAAAAAATTAAAAGATTTTTTAAAAATGAATACAGAAAAATATGTAATTCTTTTTAAAATTTGAATTGTGACATGTGCCTACAAGTTGAATAAAATGTTGCAATCAAATTGACTGTTTTTGGTGAGGATATTAAAACAACCATCAAAAACCTCCCAAAAAATAAAAGCCCCAGACCAGATGGCTTCACTTATGAACTCTAATACACATTCAAAGATGACTTGATACCTGTCGTTCTCAAACTCTTCCAAAAATTGAAAAACAGGCAATACTTTCTAACACATTTTGTGAGGCCATAACCTTGATGCCAAAACCTGGCAAGGAAAAGACAAAAAAGGAAACTATAGCCCAATATATCTGATGAATACAGTTGCAAAAATCCTAAACAAAATACTAGCAAATCAAATATAGCAATACATTTTTTAAAAATATGTAACTATCAAGTATGGGGTTCATTCCAGGGACAGAAAGATGGTTCAACATAATGCAAATAGATCAGTGTAACACACCACATAAACAGAACAAATGCTAAATCATGATCTCATCAACAGTTGCAGAAAAAGTATTTGATAAAATACAACATACATTTATGATTACAATGCTCACTAAAATGGGTATAGAAGAAAAGTACTTCAATGTAATAAAGGCCATATATGACAAATCCTCAGCCAATATCATACTCATTGGTGAAAAACTGAAAGCTTTTCCTCTAAAATCAAGAACAAGAAAAGCATGCCTACTCTTACAACTCTTATTCAGCATAGTTCTGGAAGTCCTAGCCAGAGCAGTCAGGCAAGAGAAAGAAATAAAAGGCATCCATATTGGGAAGGAAGAAGTAAAAGTGTCACTTTTTGCAGATGACATGATTCTTTATGTAGAAAACCCTAAAGACTACCAAAACACTATTAGAAATAAATGCAATAAGTTGCAGGATACAAAATTAATGTACAAAAAATCCACTGTTTTCCTATATATTAACAAGAAAACTTCAGAAAAAGAAATGGAAAAAAAAATTCCTTTTGAAATTGCAACCAAAAGAATAAAACCTGGGAATAAACTTAACAAAGAATGTGAAGGACCTACATACTGAAAACTGCAAAGCATTATTAAAAGAGACTGAAAAAGACACAATGAAATGTAAAGCTACTCTGTGTTCATGGATTGAAAGAATCAACATAGTTAAAATGGCCATATTACCCAAAGTAATCTACAGATGTAATGCAACCCCCCATCAAAATCCCAATATCGTTTTTTTAAAGAAACAGAACAAAAAATCATCAGATTTGGAACCAAAAAGACCTCAAATAGCCAAAGCAATCCTGAGAAAAAAGAATGAAGCAAGATGTATCTATCACACTACCTGATTTTGAATTATTATTACAGAGCTGAGAATCAAAACAGCATTGTATTAGGAGAAAAAAAAAACACAGACCAATGGAACAGAATTGAGAGCCCAGAAATAAAACCACATGTATGTAGGCAAATAATTTTTGACAAAGGACCCAAAAATACACAGTGGGTGAAAGAAAGCCTCTTTAAAAAATGGTGCTGGAAAAATTGGAAAGCCACATGCAAAAGAATGAAACGAGATACAGTTTGTCTCCCTGTATAGAAACTAATTCAAAATGGATCAAAGGCCTAAATATGCAATCTGAAACAATAAATTACATAAAAGAAAACAAAGATACTAAATTTATGGGCCTTGGTCATATAGAACATTTTATAAATTTGACCCTAAGGGCAAGGGAAGTAAAGTCAAAAATAAATGAATGGGACTATATCAAGGAAAATCTTCTGCGCAACAAAAGAAACCACCAACGAAACAAAAAGGCAGCAAACCAAATGGCAGTTGATATTTGCAAACAACAGCTCAGACAAGGGGTTAATATAAAAAATATATAAACTCATACAGCTCAACACCAAACAAACAATCCAATATAAAAATGGGCAGAGGACCTGAAGAGAGACCTCTCCCAAGAAGACATACAAATGGCCAACAGATATATGAAAAGATGTTGAACTTCACTATTAGGGAAATGCAAATAAAAACTACAATGAGTTACCACCTTACACCTGTTAGAATGGTTATTATCAACAAGACAGATAATTTACTGCTGGTCAGAATATAAACTGGTATAGCCACTATGGAAATCAGTATGGCAGTTCCCCCCAAAATTAAGAATAGAGTTACTATATAACCCAGCAATCCCTCTTCTGGGTATCTACCCTAAACTCCCGGAAACATTCATTCACAAAGATATAGTGCCATTTGCAACAACATGGATGGACCTTGAGAATATTATGCTAAGTGAAATAAGTCAGAAAAAGCTAAGAACCATATGATTTCACTCATATGTGGGATATAAAACTGAAACTCATAGCCACAACAGTATAGTGGTTACCAGAGGAAAGTTATGATGGGTGGGATAGTAAAGGGGGCCAAATATATGGTGATAGAAGATGATTCGACTTTAGGTGGTGGGCACACAGATCATATATAAACGTATATTTGAAATCTTTATGATCCTATTAGCCAATGTCATCCCAATAAATTTAATTTTTTAAATGGACTTTCATGTCAGAAGGTCTAATCTGTATAGGAAAATGTTTTAAAAAGAGCAGTAGGGGTATATGTACAGCAAAGTTACTGTGTGTACGTAACTCATTTTCCCTTTTGAAAAAATAGTACTTTTTAGTTTATTTTAGCCTACAAATGATTGTGAACTAAAGTTAACTTTTAAGGATTTCCAATTAATTTTTTATCCCCATGCATAGATTGTGAACTCTTGGAGGACAAGGTTTTCATTTTGTAATTCTTTGTTGTTCCCATAAATTGTATAGTGCCCTATTCTCATGTTTGTTGAATAATGAACCAGCTTATTAATTGATTTTGCTAATTACAAATGGGAAAAAAGACATATTTAGTTTAACATAATCCTTACTAAAAATAGAGGTAATATGCATGTATGTGTCTTTTTTGTCAGGTTAAATACACAGTGTAGATATACTTCAATCTATGCTATGAATTTGATATAAAAATATGGATTTAGCCTGGCTGGTGTGGCTCAGTGATTGAGCGTTGACCCATGCACCAAGAGGTCTCTGGTTCAATTCCTGGTCTGGGCACATGCCCAGGTTGTGGGCACCATCCCCAGTGTGTGGCATGCAGGAGGCTGCTAATTGATGTTTTCTCTTATCAGTGTTTCTCTCTCCCTCTCGCTCTCTCTCCTTTCCTCTCTCTCTCAAATCAATTTTTTAAAAAAGAAAATTAAAATATATATATAGAGAGATTTATTTTTCCCATTAATTTTTTATTATACAAATGATTAGGTGCACTTTAAAGAGAGATGTTTACTTTGTTTTAAAACTGGTTATTGAATACTGCCAAAGTTAGCCCTTGAGGAAGATTAGGTGAGTGCAGAACTAAAGGGATAGAAAAACATTATTTCCTGAGCTACTGAGAGGATTTTTACATTGGGTGGGCTAAATAGACCATAGTCTTCAAAGTATATTCTATGCAGGTTCCTGACTACGTAAGTTATTTTAAAGGTAAGGTTTTTTTCCTTATGTAACCTCATTTTAAGTTGAGAATTAAATTTTAACTAAGTTTGTAGTAATGTGACTTTTTTGCTAAATCTTATTGCAGTAAACTCATACTATGCAACACTTTGGAGATTGTAATAGTTTGGTTCTTATATAAGGAAAACAGTGTTAATGTGTCTGTTACAGGTAGTTATAGTTTAATGTTTGCTTTTACTAGGGCTTGTTCTGATTCATCATTTTTATTTGACTCACTAGAATGCATCTGTTAGTTATAATTTAACTTTCAAGGTCCTATGTAATTTTTTTGTTAATAAAGGTGTATTAACAGCATTATGAAGCTTTTCTCTTTTAATCTTGAAAGGAAAAAAATCCATATCTAAAAAAACAATTATAAAGAAGAGGAAAACTGTCACAAAGTCAACTACTGTACCAGAATTTCAGGTAAGTTTTTCGGTTTTCTCTTAACATTTTTTAGTTTAAGTTTTGTTTCAATATTTGTATCATTTGTTAAGAAATTGGCTAAATCCCACTGTAGCACACACATATTTTCAATGAAATGTTTCTGTGACTTTTTGCCCTGTAAGTACAGACATAGCTTAAGTACTTATGAGTTAACCTGCTAGTATTTCGAAATTTTCCCTCTATTTTTGTCTCTGATAGTAAAAAAAAAATTCTTTTTTATGTACTATACTGTTTTGTAGAAGTAGTTTAATAGAACTACATATAAAAGTAAATGTGTAAATGAACGTCTTCCAAGAACAAGCCATATATGTACATGGAAATATTGCCTAAGGGATCTGTTTTTATTTATTTTGGCACTGTAGAAATAGTTGAGTTGTTAATTTTAAAAACAAATCTGTTAACTCTTAGTTATATATAAACTTTATAAAGAATTTTAAGTAAAGGTTAATTCAGTTGTCTTTAAACATTTATGCAAAAAGAAAAAAGTAATTATATGACTGCCATGTGATTATGTGAAGAGTGTTTTGTTTGAAACTAATACTGGAATGAGCAGATCTCACCCTAATTAAATAATATTTTTATCTTCTGTTTTGTAAAAGATGTGTTTTCTTCAACAAATGATTCTTTCTTTAAACATTTCTTTGTATTTGTGTGTCCAGTCCATTTCCAGAAGTTGTATAGCCTAGTTCTTCATTGCCAAAAATAAAAATGATGTTAAAATGAGTTTCTGTGTGTCAGTTCAAGTAAAGAAGAAAATAAAGGAGTAATAACTATAAAAAATATTGTTAGTATATAATGTGAGTTTAACGGTTACATGTATCCAAAAATATAGACATCTATTTTTCAGTAAAAATACTATTTTTGGCAATGTTTCCTTGAAAGTTACTAATTGGTAGAAGTTTAATATTTTTAAATGAATAGTGAAAGAAAATAAACATGTTTTTCTCTTAGCATTTCAAAATAGAGTATTTTTTAATGACATCCTTAGGATGACTTTTTAAAATAGAAAGTAACTTGGTTCCAGCATATTCAGTAAAAAATGTGTATATTTACTATTTACTTAGAGGCCTTTCTATCATTGCTTGTACATGTTATTTAATCCTATAATAGTATATTATCATTCTTCCACTCTCATATCATGCTAGCCTTTGCTATTTCTTTTTTCCCCTCAGTCCCTCAAAATATTCTGGCCTGATGTGGGTATTTGTCTCCATTCGTGTCTTAGTGGATGGACTTTTGTATGTAATAACTGGCATAGACAGTATTTCAAAATAAGCAGGTGGTATTCATTAGTGAACCATGAAATCAATTTAGTGGATTGCATGACCAGCTAACAGAGTTAAAATAGAAATTATAAGAGTGTGTCCAATATAGTAAGGGTAATATTGTTTCATGAAACTTTTGTTTTAATTGTGTGTGTGTGTGTGTGTCCCTGGCATGCAGTTTATTTTTTACCATGGGCTGTGAGCAAAACAGTTTGAAAACCACTGTCTTAGGTTATGCTTTTAGTTAGTTACTGACCATTTGCTTACCACTCTCAGAAATTTAAGGTCAAAAGTACATGTTTTGCTAGATTGTGCTGTTTTAAATAAGTAAGTGAAAGAGGGAAGGAGGGACGGAGAGGAGAGAGAAAGAGAAGAGAAAAGAGAGAAAGACCTTTTCCTGGTTCTTAGGCATTGGAGAGAGTGTGAGAGTGAGAAGTGTGTGTGTTTAGCCAAAGATGGGAAATAGACTATGACAACAGTGATTCTTATGCCTAGCCTACAATTTGAATACCATGGTATTCATAGAGAAAATTGACACCTGTCCCTGGAAATAGGTCATTTGCTTCAAATAAGCAAAGAATATTAGATAGTATTAACCACTAGTAAACTCTGTTGTTACATGCAAAACTTAAGAGTTTTGCCTCTCAAAATAATTTTATGTAAAATTTGATTCTTTAATTATTTGGAAGTCCCCCACTTGTAAGAAGACTGATTATTTTATGCTAAAGAAGTTAATTTATTTCCTTCGCAAAAGCTCCAGCATTATGACATTTAGCACCTCGGATTCTGCAAATTATTTATTTTATCTAAGTTGTTTTAAGTATCACATTTCTATTGTTAAACATAAAAATACTTTATAGAAATGTTTAGCTGGAAGATTTGCTTCATAGTATTCTAAAATGCCTTATTGCTTAAAATAATGAAACTGTTGATGGATAGATATAAGATCCCTTTTGCAAAACCTGACCTGTTTGGCAAAGGACTGTCATTTTTAAATTGACAGTAAACATGCTTAGAGAGAAACATCCAGGGATTAAATTGTGAAGTTATTTTTTTAGGTCTTAATGAATTAAAGTGAAACCTATTTTGAGACTTCACCCAAGCGAGAAACCAAACTTGTCTGCCTATTCGATTTCAGAAGAATCCAGGTTTATTTATATGCACACCTAATATTTATACCTCAGTTTAGGAAAAGAATCATCTACCCTTATTTAAAGTATACGCTGTAGTTATGCAAATGGTGGGTTGGATTTATTTTTGTATGTATATTGTAAAGGCACTAACCATATCTGTACCACATCTTCCTAAGTGATGTCAGTGGTTCTCCAACTTTAGATAATATAAAAATAATTGGATGCCTTTATTAAAAATGAAAATTTCTGGGTTTCATCTTTAATTCAGTGGATCTATGTGGGTACCAGTAATCTGCATAGTGGTTAAGCATATGGATTTTGGAACCAGCCTGTTTGGGTTTGAATTCGAACTTTACCACTAACTAAATTTAGGGGGGTTACTGAACCTCTTTGTGATTTCAATTCCTCATCTATACAGTGGGTAATAATAGTACCTACCTCAAAGGGTTGTTGTGAGAATTAAATGATAGAGCTAACTATTTTATCTGTTGGTATTATTTATTTTTTCAAATGAGCATGCCAGATGCTGCAGACAAAAAATACTGTGTCATGAGTAGGAAAATCAATTAAGAATTGGCCTAAGAGCATGGATTATTAGACCGTTACCACTTTTTCCAGCTGCTTAAGACCTTGAAATAAATCTTAGACTTAGTCATGTTTCATAAATCATGAAATTTCATGATTAAGCCTATAAGAATTTAAAAAGTGAAAAGAACCAAGTAATATTATTTGCATCAATATATTTAACCAGAAGAAATAATTTATGTAGCCCTACTCTAGTGTTAGACTGAGTTAAACAGTTGGCATATAGGGGAACTTGTCCAATTATTTGAGTTAGAAATAGTTGCAAAAAAATTAGGAAATATGTTTATTTTTAGTATTTAGCATATTGGTGATTTAAGCTTTCAATTTGTTTAATATTTGAGAGAGGATCTCATATATGAATTCTATTTTTGTACATAATTATAACAAAATCGTGGAAAGTATTTTAAAAACTTAGTGTGTTAAGTCTCAATAAAATAAGTTTTTTAAATAATTTAAGAGCCTTAGTTACCATGACTCCACTTTTCATTGGTAACCAAAATCTTTCATGTAATGCATACTTGCTTCTGTTCCATGTTATTTATCCTAAAGGTTGCTTTGCAGAGGAAATTCAGAATCCAGCTGGTAAGCCTTATGTAAAAGTATTGTTTTCAAATCTAAGCATAAATTTACTGAACCTTAATATACCTCTAAAAACAACAACGATGTTTCTCCATTTAACCAATAAAGAAACTAAGGAATATGAAATAAAGTACTACCTTCAATGTAACAAATTGAGACCAAAATTAAAATTAGATTATAACTGCTTCACTGTGTTTAAGGACCTTTTGATTACATTATTTTTTTGAATCGCTGCCTCTTAAGTATTACCAACTTCAGCTTTTTGTTTCGCTTTTAACAGCATGGGTTTTTACTTCCCCCTTAAAATTCTTTTAATTTTTAAATATATATAGTACATTGAGAAAAACATCTGTTTTCAGTCATATAGTAGTTAAAATATATTTTAACTTGTTGATCAGACATATTTTTCACATCACATGTGATATTCTTATTTGCAAGTGTAAGATACTTGTTATTGCTAGTATGGTGATCATAAGAAGTGAGAAGGGGTTTTCCTGTCATAGTTTTAACAGATGTTAATATAATTTTAGTTTAAATACCATATAAATTTTGAACTTACACTGTGCATTGTGTTTTGCTTACAATTTTCATAATAAATTATAGAGATGTTTTATTAGAATGGTAGTGAACATTATCCATTTCATTTTTACCTGTTCCTTTTGACTTTTCAGCATTGTATTCCTTTGCTTTTTAATGTAACTTACTATATTGTTTTATTTTTGTATGCTACCTTATGCCCTTTTAGGGGGGAGGGGGAACATATCTCTCAAACCTATTGAGTCTACCCAAAGGGCAAAATTTCTAGATTGAAGTTATAATAAAGTAAGGAATTAATGATTTTGTAATTTTTCTGAGATGTGGTTATGGAGTTCTTTTGATCTCTGCAGAACTAATTCTCCCCCACTACATACACACATTTCTGCTTCTTGAGTTGAAGAGAGGATCTTTTAATATTTGCTATTTAATAGAAGTGAAAGGTTAGGTATAAATTAAATCCTAAAACTAAATTACATTTCCAGTTGTTAGATTTCTGTTTTGTTTTTGTTTAGAAAGACCCCTTAAAGAATATGATAAAGTAGGAGAAGGATGATTCCTAGTTCTGTGGTTTTCTCTACCAGTGTGTCATCTTAGGTTAGTAACTGTGTTTTAATTAGCATGTATATGAATTGGAGATACACCTTTTTTGTCTAGGCAGAGATTTGGACCAAAGTACATATTTTTGGTCCCTTTTAGCTCGTGGCTCTGTCGTGGGTTGCATTAAGTGAAAGGCTTACTTGAGGGGAGTTTGTGACTACCTTAAAGAGATTCTTCCTGGGGGATAAAACTCTTATAACCTCTGCATTGTGACTGAAAACCCCTTCTCATGAGTGTTGGCATTGTGATCCAACAGTAATCTGAGCTGCTGTGGAGCTCCCCGCCTGCCCCCTCCCCCCACCCCCAGACCCTGAGCCTCTATACGTTTCTCAAATTCAAAGTAATGAGAAGGTGGTTTTAATAAGGTGTTTTGCTTCCTTCAAAAAAAATGCATCTGTTTTCCTTATTAAGAAGAACTTTACTTACTGGATTGATTATATTTTTAAAAGCATCATTTGAAGTTGAGTTCAGTTTAAAGGTCACACATATGTCTTACTTTGTAAAAGAGAAGAAATATATGACAGAGTTGGCATAAATCAGATTATTTATCTTTCAATATTAGTAACAAAATAAGAACTATGTTTCTGTGCAAGATTTTTTTAATAGCTTAACTTGACCTTATTGTGGGTATATATTACAGATTTCTGTAGTGAGATGTATGTATTAATATATAAAAAGTATAAATTTTCATGTAGATATTGTCATTTTAAGATAACATAAAAGTAAATACTGCTAAAAATATTTTGACTCAAATTCAACGAAATTTATGTTTAAGAGTGTCAGTTAGTTTAAGAAACATTTGTCTTCTCGTTGTTCATTTAATTCAGTATTCCATCCCCTGTTTGGAAATTTATCTTTCTGAATTTCCATTTTCATTAACTCCTCAGTACCAGGTTTCAGTAGCTGTGCAGATTTGTAATTCATAGTCATTCAATGCCTTACTGCTCGAAAGTGTGATCTGTAGACCATACGTGGGAACTTGTTAGAAATACAGAATCCTAAGTCCCACCTCAGACCTACTGAATAAAAAAACACATTTAAACAAGATTCTCAGGTGATTCTTACGCACATTAAATTAAGTTTGAGAAGCGCTGATTTCGTACAACTAAATAACTGGGACGGCCATTTGAAAGTGTTATTTTATATAGCTCTTAGGCTGTGGTTTGACTACAGAACTGTTATTTATTCCTTTAAATTGAATATAAATATTTGTTGACCTCATGACTAATTGTTAATTAAGAGATCTTTACTTTTTTTAGGGTATGTCTAGTTGTAGGGATGTATGTTTTCATTGTAACTGTAAGTGTCTAAAAACTACATGCAAAATATACCCTTATTTTTTGTATGATGAGACAGCTAAGATGCAAGTGAAAATTCCTCTGAGCTTTGCTGTATATGCAAATGAGAAATCTTTGCTGTGATATTAAATAGTACACCAAGTTCAGTGCAAAGAAGTGTAACCAACCATCTGCAAGCTCTGGGGCAAATTTTACATGGTAGTCATAATAGCAGATTATACAGTGGGAAGTTTAGTTCCCACTGAATATTTACTAAAAATCTGGTTTAGGGCCAACATTGTTCTTAGGCTTTATAGATATACTGTAATAGAAATTGAAGACATTATTCAATTCTAGAGGCACTTACATAGTTAGCCATTCCACTGCTTAATTATCACCATTTTTCCCATAACTCTCTAGATTTGGCAAATGGGAATGTGTAGTTTGTAATAAATATTAGTTGCACTGTCCTGTTAACATATTGTATACTGTTTTCTACTCTGGAATTGTTTTGAGTTACTTAAATACACAATCTTACCTGCTTTGTCATTTCTGTGAGTTTGAAAGTATGTAGCTATTTCTAATAATGGTTAATACTAATTATAGTTTATAATATCTGTGATAAATTGTCCTTAGTCTTTTAGGTTGAACCATACTGCCATTTTTGTAGATCAAAGGCATATCAGCAATTTCATATAATTCATCCTAATAATAAAGGAAGTTTAAGGGTCTCCTAGTCTCTCATTTTTGTCACTCAGTAGTCACAAGGAATGATATTGTTGTAACCTACTTTTCCTTTTATCATTTTTGTTTATTTGTTTTCTTTTAAAAGGAAGTATGCCCTTTAGGAAAACAGTAATTTTACACAGAAATTAATGAATATAACAAACATGGGCTGATAAAAATTAATAGTGAATTAATGACTTTATAAGTATATTTTTTAAATTATCACAAAGTATAAACATTACAGCAAAACTTTCATTAATCTGAAACTTTTCCTCTGTATGTGGTTGCAGTTATGTTTTAAATATGTTTTGTTTTAAAATATGAGCTTAAATTATTTTAGGAAAAATGTTAAATATATTAAACTCATTGGAAAAACTCAGTATAATTTTACAAGAACTAAAATGTAGATACTAATACTTTTGTTGTTGCTGACACTTCACTGTTTAAAACTTTAATAATTAAGCCAAACTAGTTTGATTATTAATAACTAAAAACCAATTATTTTGGCCATTTTCCAGTATTACCAAGGTGAAATAAAATGAGCCACACAATTATGAAAGGAAATGCGTGGAGATGGTCTTACTAAGGACTAGTAAGATCATGTTAAGAATGTATACTTAGTTTTATTTATGTCTTTGAATATATCACATGTAGTTGAAGTCCTTTATTAGCAATCCCAACAGCAATAATACAGCTTGTTTAATTGTGTAGTTAGCAAACCAAAGCAAAGGTATAGTGACAGTTCTCCGAGGGTGCATTTATTCACCTACTAGGAGACTGCCTGATGAAATATTTTTAAAAAGGTGATTCAGTAACTTGTGAAATCTAGGGTGAGTTTCCAGATCTTTGTCATTCTGGGCTAAAAGTTAAGAATGTTAAGAAAGTACCTGTATTATAAAGCAAACTGAGAGGGATGTGGGATGAAACCACCAATACTGAAATTTCAGCTACTTTTATACTAAGCCTGAAGTTCATACATCATAACAAATAAATATCTTTTAAAGGATAAACTGCGGAGCTTTCTTTGGTTTTAGCTATTACAAATAATTGTGAATTCAGTGTGTGTTAAAACAACTTCTGTTACCACATTTTGGGTGTTTTATATTATGTGTTATCAAGCTGTGTTTTTGTGTTTTATTTTAGCTTATTTGCACTAATCTTGATGAACTCAGGGACTTAATCACAAAAATCGAGAATGAACTCAAAGATCTGGAAAACAGTAGAAAAAAATCGGTAGGTGTTGATCCAAAAGTTCTATCTATTATTGTCAGCATAAAAATTTATTCCTGCTTTTTTCTAAAGCCTTTTTTATCTTGTTCTCCTGAATAACATAAAAATCTGCAATGAACAATAGAAACATTGTTTCTTTTATTTATCCTGTGTGGTCTAGTTTTAATTTTTAATAGACAAAAATTGTGCCAGAGCAAGTAAATTCATTTTGTTTGCCTGGTTTAAATCAATTATGATTGTCGATATTTCCCAATATACTGGTTGGTTGTTTTCTGACTGGTAGTTTTTTGGGTAATGCTTACCTTGCCAGTATTCTTAATAATCATGTGCTTTCAATGGAAGTTTATTGCTTAGTAACATAAAATTTAATTAGCTGTGACATAAATAACAGATGTAAATTGTTTTATCTTGCCCCAGATGTTTTTGATACATGCCTGAAAATATGTCTTTTAAGAACCTTTGTCAGCTAAAGGTCTTTTTTTAACTTTTACTATATATTCTAAATTCACAATTAATCTTTACCTTTATTTTTTCTTAAGAGAATAGAGTATAGGGGCATTATATTTATTCACTCAATACGTGGTAAAACACTCAATTACGTTATTTATTAAATCAGTAATACCCATTTAACTGGTATTCATAGTTCAGTTATATCACAAATTTGAAAAACAATTACACGCCAATTAATAAATGGGGAAGGCTTTAAACACTGAAGAAAATCAATCATCATTTATTAAAATCTCTTTGTTTTATCCTTTAGGAATGTCATGAAGCCATTTTTAGGTCTTTGCCCAGAACCTGTTAATCTAGAATTATGTATAAAGTAAGGTTAGTGATAGAGCAAGCTTTATGTCAACAATTTTGCAGTAGTTATTTTATATGCTGTTTATTGGTAGCGCTCTAAAGAGAGGAGACTGAAGTATCATAAAAGTACAACCTTCCAAGGTTATTTTAATACAGGAGTAAAATAACTTTAAGCATATCAGAAGTCTCTCATGTGATACCCCTGAGAATATCGCTATAATCTAACAGATAGAATAATGTTCATAATGATAGTCATCAATTAACAAGAAAACCTTATGTGTAATCTGAGAATACAGAAAACTGTATATTATAGAAATATTTCATTAAAAATTTAGGCTCATGTTTTCATATATATATATATATATATACACACACATACATTTTTGGTATATGGGCATTCTCTTAATATGAAACACCACGTGTCGTTTTAAAATTTACTTCTGTGCTGTATTTCACAAACAACATTTATATTAGACTATTTTCTCCTCAGCCAAAGTTTTAAAAAATATATTTGATGTTATATGCTCATAAAGGACTTATGTTCTATAATAAGAAGGAAAAGTCTTTTAATCAGTGTTACAGTTTTTTTTTTGTAGAAGCTGTTCATTTTTAGTGCATACTTTAGTGTTTATTTTTGTCCATACTTTATGACTCTAAACAGAATTTTGTTAAGTTAATTTACTAATTGGTTTTTATTCTGCAGTAAAAACGGAATGTATACATCTTAATTTGTTCCCATATTATAAATTAAGGTTTGTTTTTAAGCAAAATTATTTATGTACTTACTTATGTCATGTATTGTAAGAGAAAAAGACGTCTGCACGCAACCTAGAGTTTTTCTGTAAAGCCATCTACCTCACTTCTATGTGGTAGTATGAGGTGTAAGCATATTGTGTTCCCTCACAGTAACAAATAGAAGAGTGAAAAAAAACCCATAAATTACAAATGCTTAACACTCCAATCTTGGGGAACATGTTTATCAGAAAGATTTAAGTAATATGTAGGGTTTAATTGATAAGATTTTGTATCTCTAAATTTTTAACTGGTCCGTGACTCCTGGTATTTATCAGTTTAAAAATATGATTTCTGCTCTTCAAAAAATAGAAATTCTTGGAATTACACTTACTACGGATAGTCTTACTGAGATTACCAACACATAGGCTATTTCCCTTTCATTTAAACTGACTTACAAGTTTTCATGAATAGCTTATCCAACCACTGAAATGGCCACACAGTATTCTAAGGGAAATAGACAGTAAAAGTTTGCATCTCAGTATCATTCCCTATTTTTTTTTTTTTACAAAAGCTAATACTGAGTGTGACAGATAGTAGTTACAGCGATTAACTTTACTGAATGTTTATGTAATGTTGAATACCAGTTTATTTGGCATTATTTGGAATAAGGTATTTCACATAACTGAATTTTTTACACAACTGAAATTTATCCTTCAGTGAAAACTTCCCTGCCTCTTTGTACTATGTAACACAATTTAACCCTTTCTTGATGATTCAAGAGTCATTATGAATATCCATAACTCTACTGATATCCTAAAAATCTGTTAATATCAGTAACTCTAAACATTTACCAAAAGGTCTTTTTGCTATATATTATGAAGGTTTTTGTTTGTTTGTATTTTTGCTTTTGTTCTGTCTCTTCATTGTCAGCCTGTCATTTCTTGTGTGTGTCCATGTACTTGCCCTGCCTGATATATACTGTAGATTACAAAGCAACTAACCATATTTATTGGAAGTGGGTTCATGGTAAGGACCTGAGGGACTTTCTTAATAATGAAATGCATCAACTTGGTGATGGTGATAACCATTTTGACTGATTCTTGCCTTGTGAGCTTCCTTCACTATTGCCAGAAAAATGAAATATAAAATTGATCTTCATAAGAGGATATCACTGCCAAAACTAATGTAGTAGTTAGAGTCAAAACAACTTTATTATCATCAACTTTCCAATTTATAATAATGACTCCAAAAAATTAACCAAGAGGGTATATTCTATGTAAACATTCAGTTGTCATAATGCCATCACTTAAGGTAGAAATTACATATGACAGAGAGAATTTAACATGGATCCATATAAACACCTGGCTACTTTAGGAAGCTTCTCTGCAGGGCCTTTCCAGGAAGTGTTTCCTGCCAAAGCAACAAGGAAGAATTATCCCATTTTCTCACCTAGCTCAACATTCTATTAAAAAACATTCTTCCCTGGCCAGGTAGCTCAGATGGTTAGAGTATCCTCCCAATATGCCAAGGTTGCAGTTTCCATCCCTGGTCATGGCACATACAAGAATCAACAAATGAATGGATAAGTAAGTGAACAATAAATCGATGTTTCTCTCTCTTCTGTTCCTCCCTCTCCCCCACCCTTCCTCTCTGTCTAAAATTGTTAAATAAACAAACAAACAAACAAACAAATAAATAAAGTTTTTTTAATCCTTACCTGAGGATATGTTGTATTGATTTTGAAAGAAAGGGTATCATCAATGTGAGAGGAAACATTGATCAGGTGCCTCCCATATACACCCCAACCAGGGATCAAACTTGCAACCTAAATATGTGCCCTGGCTGGGAATTGAACCCACAGCCCTTTGGTGTATGGGACAACACTCCAACCAACTGAGCCACTTGGCCAGAGCAGTACATTTTTTTTTTTTTAATTTAAAAAAAAAAAGCTTTCTTAACCACTTAGAGGCTTTGCCATTGAGCTATTCATTGTATTGGATACTCATTGTATTGGAAGATGTACAGTCTTTTAAAATGTAGATCAATCTACTCATTCTTGCAAGACAACTAGTTCTATTTATGGTTAATAATGTGAGGAGAGAAAAGTGCTTTAAATTTTTCAAGCTTGCTCTTCACTTGATCCCATTACTTCATTTAGGTGATTTTCTATAAAAGACTCAGCATCCTATAGGTCCCACAGTGCTATACCTAATTATCTACCAGAGATTTGTTTCAAGTGGAAAAACTGGTTGAGATAAATAGAGGTATATAGTTTGACAAAGTCCTTCAATTTTTTCTTTCTCATATAATTTAGATCATATGAGAGCTAGGTGAACTAAAGGAGAAATCATAACATTTTATTATTATTTTAGTACTTTTAATCAAAAGATAGAATTTACATTTTGCTTAATTATATGGAAAATATCCTTTTCTATTTAGGAAGTGTATTAGTTTTCCAGAAAGATAGAATGAAGGTATTAATAAATTTGTCTGATCCTATTGTATTTGAAATTTATTAAACATTATTGCTTTCTAAGTAATTAAAATTGGAAGATTTTGCCAGGCTTATACAGAAGTGGTTATATTTCAGAGTTTTTTATGTGACCCTTTTTTTTCTCATATTATCTTTATTTTCTTATGTTTTATATCATAGGTTATATTTTCAAAGAGGTTTTCATCTTTTTTAATAAGGAAAAATCTGTATAGAAATTGAGTGTAATGAAAAGTGAACATTTGGCAAAAAAAATGTTATTTATAAGAAACCTTGTCTGGATTATATTATGACAAATGATGGTCTTATAAAATAGCTAACCTAAAATAAAAATGTAAGATCATATATTTTCTAATATATCTTTAGCATAAGCACTTCAGCACTAAGCAGGGTTTAAAATAGACATCAAATATTTCTAAATATCATAATCTGTATGTAAAAAGCTATAAGACTGCCCTGGCCAATTTGGCTCAGCGGTTACAGCATCGGCCTGGGGACCAGAGTCCTGGGTTCTGATTCCGCTAAGGGCACGTACCTCGGTTGCAGTTTGTCTCCGGCCTCGGTTGGGATTGTGTAGGTGGCAACCACTCCATGTGTTTCTCTCACATTGATGTTTCTCTCTCTCTCTTCCTCCCTCTCTTCCTCTATCTAAATATAAATGCAAAAATGTCCTCGGGTGAGGATAAAAAATAAATTAAAAAGCTATAAAACTGCCTGTGCTCTTTAATCCTGTAATCCTATCTGGGATTTAACATTTATTATCCCCATTTCACCCCTACCCCATTCCCCAAAAAAGTAATTTATACACAATGGTATGTTCTGTACACTACCTCTAATAATGGAAATTTGGATAAAGCTCATATGTCCAGCAGTAGGAGATGGCTAACCAAACAGTAATATTAACACAGTGGTATATCATATTGCTAGTAAAATAAAATATGGAAATATTTATGAAATGTTAAATTCTTAAAAA